AACGATATCAGCGCTCATTTCCATGCTCTCCAATGAACAGAGGTGTATTGGCATCGCCTCACTGGGAAACGCAGGTGATATCTAGCTTCGTGGTCAGTGGGGGATGTCCATGTATAAGCACAGTGCTGTGATCTTGCAATCGGGTTTCTGAAAGGCAGCAGACATCAACGTCTAGGGAATCTAGGGTGTGCGCTAGACCGGCTTGCTGTCTATTCCGCATGAGTGTCCGAACGTTGAAGCACGCCAGACGAAACGAGGATGGGGGACGAAGAAGGGCCATAAGTTGAACTCCTTGATTTGCGGAACAACCGGAATCACAGCCAGATTGTTGAACAGATGAATCGGGTAACCGAAAGTGAAAATTGTTAGCAAACAAACAATTGGCGTGGGATTAAGTAGCGTGAAAGTGAGTAGCAGGAACAGTAGCTGATGAGCGCGTGGTAATACAGTCCATCGTTTTGTGAGAGGGCGTGATACTACCCGGTTGCCTAAGCCGAAGTAGAAAGTTGACTTAGGGGACTCCACCCCGAGTCTTTGGCTAAATAACCTACCCGCAAGGCAGCGGGGCGAATTTAGGAAATCGCGCCCATTGGGAGGCGTTGACTGAATGATCAGCTCAAGCGTCTTTGTTTGGTAGATTACCAAACAGAAGCCCAATACTCCTCAGCACAATTGCTGGAATACAATGCCCTACGGAGATGGAACTTTGTCGCCGAACACTTTGCTGGAACGGGGTACACCCGAACCACCCAGCTGGCACCACCAGGAGGTAGTTCGGCAAGCCAGCCTTTATGCAAAATGATCTTGCGTGAATCTAAATCATTCCATTTAGCACACCTAGCAGAAAAAGGATGATCACAATAACGAACAGCTGCAGTCCGCACTATTATATATATATATATATATATATATATATATATATATATATAAACATGTATATATATATGTGCATATATATATACATATATATAGGATGTTATGCGGAAATTTACAAGGGACCGTGACAGCTACAGTGGAAGCTGCAAGGGCCCATCGTACTCAAAAGATAAGAATCTAACATTCGCTTGAAACATTCCTCAGTCTGGGCATCGACCACATGCTTCGGTAACTCGTTCCAATCGTTGACTACGCGAGTTGATAGAGCGAGAGCAGGATGAACCCGGAGCCTTCTGGGTTTAAACAGTTTCCAGTTGTGGCCTCGAGTTGAACTGTTTGCATTGAATTGAAAGCACGCCTGCAGCTCCGTCCCCATCTCTCCTCTCAGGATGCGCCTGGTGAAAATCAGGTCACCGCGACGTCGGCGATAATCCAGGGAGAACAGGTTCATCCGCTGAAGTCTCAGGGGATAAGGCAAGTCCCGTACCTCCAAGATGTATTTCGATCCCCGCCGTTGGACCTTCTCAATGAGGTCACATTCGAACTTGGTGAGAGGGAAGACGGCAGGTAATCCGTATTCGAGAATGGGGCGGACATGGGAAGTAAACAACAGTCTGAAGATATCCGGAGTCAAACGTGAGAAGGCTCTTCGTATGGCATGGGACATCCTGTTGGCAGCAGCAACCCTTCGTAACGTGTCCTGTGTAGTCCGTAGATCAGATGACACCAACACGCCGAGGTCTTTTTCAAGGATTGAAGTTCTGAGCAACGCCCCACCAATGTGGTACGTCCCGAAAGGCTCAGGAGCACCAATGGGGAGGACCGAGCACTTATCGCGATTTATGGGCAATCGCCATTTGACTGACCACTCATGTAACGTATCAAGTGTAGCCTGTAATCGGTCCGCATCGTCAAGACAGGATACCTCCATCCACAACTTCAAGTCGTCAGCGTAAATCAAGCAATCCAACTGAAGTTCCGCCGGGAGGTCATTGATGAAGATCTTGAAAAGTTCTGGGCCCAGGACCGATCCCTGTGGGACACCGCTAGTCATGAGCACAGGAGCGGAGTAAGTCTCGTTCACGTCGACTCGCATTGTCCGGGCATCCAAAAAATCAGCGATCCAAGAGAGAACGTTCCCAGAAACACCTATTCCTCGTAGTTTATAAAGGAGCCTTTCATGAGGAACCTTGTCAAAGGCCTTGCTGAAGTCGACAAAAATAACATCCAGACGTTTCCCAGCGTCTAATGATTTCGCCCATCTTTCACGGGCCACAAGCAGATTCGAAGAACATGAGCGTGCCCGCCGAAAACCATGCTGCGCACAAGAGATGACGTTTAGGTTCTCGAGGTGGAGAAGAAGTGCCCGCTTGAGAATCCTCTCCATTACCTTGCACAATATTGACGTTAAGCAGATGGGTCGATAATTGGCAGGATTTTGACGATCCCCTCCTTTGTGTATGGGTTTAACAATCCCCACTTTCCAAGCAATCGGGAGCCGTCCAACTTCAAGAGAATGGCGAAATACCCGGCAAACAGGAGCGGCAATGTAATCGGCCACAGTCTTGAGGAACAGCGGATGCAACCCATCAGGACCCGGCGAGGAGTTCGGATCTAATTCACGAATGCCTTTGGCAACGACATCAGCGCTCATTTCTACATGCTCCAACGAAGAAGGGAGTATTGGCACCGCGTCACTGGGAAACGGCGTCTCCATCGAGTAAACAGATGAATATTGCATGGCCAGGAGACTGGCTTTCGCAGCGTCATCGTCAAGTAAACCGACATGCGCCAAGGAATACAGAGCAGGAATACCACTGCCTGCTCTGGTACTTCTCTTCAGGTAAGAGAAGAGTGCCTTGGGAGTCGTCTTGGATTGCACAGCCAAACCGAGTTCGTACTTATGCCGTTTCTCACGTTTTTTCAAGTTGCAGATATTCCTGGCCACTTTATATTCCGAATAGTCAGACTCGGATTGCGTGAGCTTGAATCGGACCCACAGTTTCCGTCTTTTGTTCATTAGGCCCCTCAGTTCTCGATCAATCCATGGAGGACCTATGGCAAAAGGTCTTTTGTAGACAGGAACGACCTGCTCAACGAGCGAAATCATTTTGGAGTACAAGAGGTTCCACTCATCGTCCAGATCCAGGGGTTCGGGTATACTCCAGTCCACAGTACTGGCGGCCGTTTGTAGGCGTTGGGGATCAACACGCCAGAAATTTCTGCGGAGGCGACCTTGGTTGTGGAGAGTAAGGCGTCGAGTCCAGAGGAATGAAACCACACAGTGATCGCTTTTACCAATGGGCTGAAGAACGGCTAGGCCGGTGACATCTGATTGTGCCGGTGAGAGTACAAGGTCAAGAATATGGGGTGTTTGTCCTGCAATTATACGAGTAGGCATTGTGACATGTTGGAATAAGTTACATTCGATAACCGTCTCTAAAAGAGCGAAATCAAAAGCGTTTGAAGAGGGAACACAATGCAGTTGGTCCCAGTCGATACTCGGGGCGTTGAAGTCACCCAGTAATAAGCAGTCCTTGCCTCCACCGTGCATTTTGATCGCGTCCAGCAGGCAAGCTCCGGAACCCAATGGGGCCCTGTAGACAACACCGACCATGAGAGATCTGCATCCGTCATGAACACGGCACCAGAGTTTCGAAGTCGCCATCGCTGCCACAGGTAGCTTCAACCAGATGAGCCTTGAAGTCCGTCTTCCAATAGAGTATCACACCGCCCCCAGGTCTACCTCCATGGCGGTCTGCCCGGCAAAGGTGGTATCCAGGGATCTGCACCTCCGAGTCCAGGATATCCGGGGACAACCAGGTTTCGGTGAAAGCTATAAGATCCGGCCGATTCATGGAGGCAAGAAGCTGAACTTCGTCTAGTTTGTTTCTGAGACTGCGCACATTGGAAGAAATTACGCGCAGTCCGTTCTTCAACTCTAACGCCCGGGCATGACAAGGAGTGGTCTCCAGCGAGTTCTTGGCGTTTTTCGAAGTACGCGAAAATCCACGATATGTAGGTCCGTCTCACCGTTATCACGACGAGATCTGAGTTCATCAACCGCTTTCTTCATTTTTACTCGATCCTCCGGAGAGAGGTCTCGTAGTACGAAAAATGGTTCTCCTTTAAGACGCGGAGCTCGTCGGAGAATGCGATGGACTTCATCATCGTTTTGACATACAATCTTCAAGGGCCGGACCTTAGAGGAGTCCTCCTGTTTCTTGCCAAGGCGGAAAGCGGAGACGATGTTGATTCCTGGCTCACCTTCGTCGAGCAGTAAGGAGATCATCCGTTTTAGAAACTCTTGATCATCCATAATCCTTTCAGCTGGAGTGGTTTTGGACGACTCAGGAGCATTTATGATGATTAGGCAACGGCCACGAGAGGGTGATTTGTTGTTATCGGGGAGCTGCGGCTTGTGGGGAGGTGGACGCTCCTTAAGCAGTTTTTCCAGCTGACCGACTCTATCCAGAACTAGCTTCAACTGCGATTGTGAAGACAATGGTTTGCGTTTCACCTTGACATCTGTCTTGCCCTTACTTTCAACCACTCGTACTGGCGAGGGCAGTGGCGCACATTCCTTCGCTACGGATGCATAAGTCTTGGTATTTGGGGCTTTACCGTGGTCAACAGCCGTCGGCTTACCAGTGGGGGTAACCGGATCAGAAGCTAGTGACGAGAAGCATGGGGATGCCAAGGAGGCAGTATCGCTGATTGCCTCGGTTTGAGCAGAAGAGAAACGCGGGTTCAGTGCAGGCAGTCCATCAAGCGGTGCAGTGTCGGTACCTGCCTTCTTTGCTGGAGTCCGACAGGCCAGGATATACTTTGCGTTGGGGGGCAGCGGAGGATCTTTCTGCTTTTGCACAGAATGCAGACATGAGGGACTTGGACTGATTGGAGGTAGGCCATTCGAAACGCGACTGACACTCAGTCCAGCGCGACATGTGTCACAAATGAAGACGACGACGGAGGAAGTGGTCCTCTGCAGTGGATCGTACAGATCTGGACCGATTTTACAACATGCAATGTGCAGCCACCCTTCGCAGAAGGAACACTGAACAGCCTTCGACCGAGAAGTGACAGCCTTACAACAATCCAAGCATTTAGAAGACACTGCATACTTTATAAACTAACTTCAGAAGGAATCTTCAAGACAGTAACGAAGCATCAAGGAGCGCGCTATCCGCAGCGGCTGCGGATATATATTTATGTAGAACCTATTCGCCTATATATGTATGCATACATAATAATAATAATAATAATAATAATAATAATAATTAATAAAGGTAGTAAGGAATAATGGTATGTTCATAAGTAAGAAACGCATACGTGAATTATTGTTTGCGTGTGAGTCTATCTACTCCTGCATGTTTGATGCATAATACATGTAAAATGGGAGATTGAAGAGATATCGTCAATGTTAGGTTCAGTTCAGTTCAGTTCAGATGGGGACTGGAACAATAGGAAAATCCCGTGAATGTTCCATCTTGAGTGGATCGTTGAGCGAGGAATTGTTGAAGTGCTCAGTTATTGATGGATCTAAAACGGAAACACCCGTATCGCACCCTGGCCAACCAATTAATGTCCACGTTTCCTGCCCTATCAGTCCCTGCTGTGGCAGTCACGTGAAGTAAGCATAGGATAGGAAGAGAAATCGAAGGTACAGAATAGGGAAATGCACTTAAATAAGAAAATAATACCAATACGTGAAGAAAAGTAGAGAAATGAAAATCGAAGTACGAAGATGCAAGCTACTCAGGAAAATGGAAAGGTTTTGTGTTGCCACCCAAGAGCGTCAAGTTGCCGCTCAAACCCCTTAACCGTAGATTCCCTGATAACACTTTCCGGAAGCATGTTCCAGCGGTCGATGACTCGGCGTGACAGCCGGATTTCCGCCCTAATCCGATCGGACCGCGGTTTGTCCAGCTTCAACGAATGACCGCGTAGAACAGACAATCTAGCGGGACTGAATGACTAAGATAAATCTGGACCAACCTTCCCAGCCCAGATACGGTAGGTTAGGATTAGGTCTCCTCTAAGCCTTCGGTAGTGCATTGAATGCATTCCCAAACTAAGTAGACGCTCGGAGTACGTCCGTCCCCGTAATTCCTCGACTAACCTAGTACCCACTCGTAAAACCCTCTCTAGCTCCATTTTGTCCCGGACGAGTCAGGGCGGACAAGCCTGGACGCAGTATTCCAGATGAGGCCGAACGAAAGCCGAGAACAGCCTCGTAAAGATGAAGCCCATCAAGACTCCGAAAGAACGTCGGATTAACCACAACATGCGGAAACCTCTGCTTGCGGCCTTCTTCCAGTTGTCGCCGGAGTGTAACGCCGAAGCGTGTACGACGCCTAGGTCAACCTGGCTAGATACACGGGGGAGTTCGACCCCACCGACCAAGTACTTCGCAGGAGGACAACCTCCTCCAATTCGAAGTACGGAGCACTTTGCTTGATTTATGGGCAGTAACCATAAAGTAGACCGGTCCCAAAGCCTATCCAATGCTCGCTGAATAGCTTCGGAACCCCCAGAAGCATCAACAATGTTCCACAGCTTCAGGTCAACAGCAAATAGCAGCGATGGTACCTCAAGCTCCGCGGGTAGGTCATTCACATAGATAGAGAACAACAGCGGTAAAAGGACCGAGCCCTGCGGCACGCCGCTGAGGACAGACTGCCTAAATGATAGGCCCCGGCCTACCCGTACATACTGTTCTCTACCCTCCAAGAAGGCAGTCACCCAATGAAGGGCGCGGCCAGATACCCCGCAGGAGGACAGCTTTTGTGCGTGCCTCAAATGGGGTACCTTGTCAAATGCCTTCGAAAAGTCGACGGAAAGCACGTCCAGTGTGTGGCCGTTATCCACTGCATCCGCCCAATTTTCGCGCGCCACCAACAGATTCGTCAGACACGAAAATCCCTTCCGGAATCCGTGTTGTACATTACTAAGTGGATTAAATCTACTCAATTGACTTTCCAATGAATCTCTCACCAGTTTCTCGAGGAGTTTGACTACTACACTCGTCAGACTAACTGGCCGGTAATTTGCAGGCAGAACCCTGTCCCCATGTTTGAAGATGGGACAGATGGCAGCTTCCTTCCATTCGGAAGGCAAAAATTGTTTTTAATTGCAAATGCTTTTGTGGTATACAATTGTGGACGCAGAGGAATGATTTATTTAATAGTGCGGACTGCAGCTGTTTGTTATTGTGATCATCATCCTTTTCCTGCTAGGTGTGCTAAACGGAATGATTTTGATGCACGCAATATGATTTTGCATGAAGTCATGGTATGTAAACATCGAAGTTCATGATTACTCATTTCGGAGCTTAAGAGGCTCTGAGGGAACAGGGGTTCGTTAAACATTTAAAATCGTTTAAGGTATATATATATATATATATATATATATATATATATATATATATATATTAATTATATATATAAATTATATATATATATATTCATTCTCAAACAGTTGCCCACGCAGCAATACTAACAAATATATATCACCACAATTTTCACAGAACTCCACTCCACAATCACTGCTCAACATTATTAAAAGCGCTACATTCTGTTTCTTTTTTAATCACTCGCGTACTGTTATATATTAGATTTTCCACTTTTATACAACAGCAGTTAAGCATGGTACAGTTAAATTTTCAGCCATTTGGGGTTCCTGACCACATTATAAACCCCTTTCGTAATAAATTACCACATTAAAACTTATACATTTAGAGAACTCGGAAACCAGTTTTCCTGATGAGCAACGGACCGTGACTCTCACATCTGAGAGTTGCCTAGCGGCGGGTTTTGTTCGGTGGGTATGCTAGGCCAACTGGAGAGGTTGCAATTAGATGGCAGTTTGTACTATATATATATATATATATATATATATATATATATATATATATATATATATATATATATAGTATACACACGTTAACGAGGTGTATGTTTGTATTGAAGAAGGTTAATGTGGTTCTCATATTCCGTCGTTGTGATAAACCACAGGAGGATAGGGGATCGTTTGGCGCTTGTAACTGTCATCATGGTGGATGAATCTGAGCGATTATGTCTTTTGGTACGTACTATTATCGGAAACTTGATGAGGTTGATTTTGCTGTAAAGAAATTTGCAATTGCCACAGCATTTTGCAAGCATACAGCTGACTCCACAGCATTATGAACGGCACAAGTGGAAGGGGTTGCCAGATGCGTACCCGTACCGGTGCGTGCAGTATCCCTGTGTTCATGGCAAGCGTAGCAACGTTCCTGGGAATTTGTAAGTTGTTAGTTTTACGGTATAATAAATGCTACACCGTTACAGGATGCTGGATTGCTGAGCCCGTTTCTCTTTCATATTGAATTTTACGAAGGACAGGAATAGCATTTGTGTCGTTGTCATGCTTTCTATTTTGGGGAGTCATGGCTATATCCACAGTACAGGCGGTTGACGGAGACGCAAGGGAAAGAGGGGTTTTCCTGATATCCGTGTTCAGCTTGCCAGAAGACACTGGCAGGTTGTCAGATCCTGCATCTAATTGTTCACTGTCGCATGTCAGTTTACCTGTGAACAACGACCTTGTTAGTAACGAACCCTCAGACAGCGTGTTTGATTGGGCTGTTAGCGAAGGAGAGCAGCAGGTTTCTGCCCTTGTCAAAAGATGACAATAGAGGGTTTAAAAAACAGCAAATTCAAGGCGGACATGAGAGATCGGTCGGGTGCCCCTTCCCACTCCTTAAATTCTACTACTACGGAACGTTGCAACTGGAAACATCTACGACACTAGCGTCTATAAAGACGGACACTAAACTGAAACCACCGACGTCCGTGGAGCGTTCGGTAAATACACCGCGTCGCGGAGACTCGTATACCGGCTGCTGTGTTATTTTCAGGAACGCCACTGAGTCATCTGCTGTTCTCCCGAAAGACCGTATGCTAGATGACCCTCGGTGGTTTAGAATATGCGTTACCAAAATCCTGCCTCCCGGCTTCCCCAGCGTGACTGTGCGCAAACTTACCAGACTCGGTAACTTGCCAGCTGACAAGTCTCGCGCTCGCTTGTTACGAGTTGTTCTGTCCACTCCGGAGGGGCGCCAAGCGCTTCTGCGGTTCGCCTTTAGGCTCAAGGGCACTGGTGTCATTGGGCACCCAGACCCCCTTTGGCGGATAAGCTGAAATTGCGGGAAGCTGTGAAGGACCTTAAAGCTCGACGTGAAGCAGGAGAAAAGGGTCTCCACTTGGTGGCTTTTCGGATGGTGAACCGGCGGTCCACTTCCGTCCTACCAGAGCTGGTGCTTGTGGCGCATGATCACGGACTCACAATGTTAAAGACCTTCAGGTGATCTTAAGCCATGTGCGTAGCCTGCGAAACAAGCTGTGCGAAGTCGGCGCTCTTGTCGACGACGGCCGTCCAGACGTTCTCGCATTCACTGAAACGTGGTTGTCCACCGACTTCAAGGACAGTGAAGTGTGCTTGCCAGGCTAGGCAATGCTGGAATGTGACCGCAACTCTGATCGGCGCGGAGGTGGCGTTGCTTTGTACGTGAACTCCGCACTTACTGTCTTTAATACGTATAGTTTCAGATCATCAGAGGGTGATGTTGAGGCACTCACAGTTAACCTGTGTATTGCCTCCGCGCAATTTAAAGTTGTGCTGGTCTATAGATGCTCCGACAGCGTTGCTATGGGGCTTGCTGATTTCATCCTTGATCATTCGGCAAATAGGTGTTTAGTGATGGGGGACTTCAATCTTCCCGACTTTGACTGGTAGATGTTTCGTGCGACGCTGTTACAAGGTGTTGGGCTACCGAGATTCTCGAGCTGGCCTTGCATACTGCCCTGCACCAATTTGTCGATCGACCTACTGGATTCATGATGGGTCAAAACCCGTCCCTCTTGGATTTGATCTTCGCTAAATCCATTGATTTTGTCACGGATGTTGTATACAAATCACCTCTCGGTGCTAGGGACCGCGCATGTCTCTCATTTAAGTGCGCCCTTAGTCGTCAGACTAATAATCATCCCGACCGAGTTCCAAATATATGGGGCGCGGACTTTCATACAATGAAAGCAGAAGCCGCAACGTCGCCTTGTGTCATTTTGGAAAGTGACGACATTCAAACGACCTGAGAGAGACGTAAAGCATGCTTGCGTGAGCTCGAAAGGCCTACAGCCATTATCTACGAGGTGCTCGTCTACA